AACAAAAAACGAATGCCACGACTGGTGTCGTTCGCTACACTTCTTCTGTAACTGACGAGCCGCAAATACCATATCTGTAGTGCTGCGACCCGAACGGAATCAACACTGCTCTTTCGCCTCGTTAGGTTCCACAACCTGACTGACGAGGCAGGTGAGCAGGATTCGGGCAAGCCTATTGCCCAGGCAACGCAGCAAGTTGATGCCATGATAATTCGTGCAACAATGCATGCTGCCTTTGCCCTTTTACAATGGTAGCACAAGGGCATCCTTCAGCTCAGGAGGCACCTACTCTTCAATCTACACGAGCTGCACCAAGTGGTGCAGCGCAGTCACCAACGCAAGTTCGACGTGTTTCAATACTTCGGGCGGGATCCCCTCGGCCCCAGCACACTTGCCGTTCCGCAGTTGAGCAAGTGCTCTCCGCGTCTCATCCAGTGCCGGCGTGTCCGCCAGACTCACCTTCCCAACGTGCTGCTTCACGCCGTTCAAAGTAAGCCAGTCGATCTCTGTACTGGTGTTCAAGAGACAGTCAAATTGCGTTCGCCAGATCTGCATTATGTCTGTAGTCTGTGTGCAGGTAGCGCCTGAACTAACATGGATCAGCGTCCTCAGCGGTTCCAATCTCGGTCCATACACCGCCTTCAAGAAGTCAAAGAATTCCTTCTGTTGGCAACGTTCAGCGTAGTATTCCATCTGCTTCGCCTTCTCCGTCCACCATGCATTTTTAATGCGACAGAGCTCTCGGGTCAGTTGTCGTCGAATTCGCCCAAACTTTCTCTTCTTCACCAAGTTACTAGGGTCTGCCACATGTGTAGCAAAGGCTACATTCTTCTCCGAAACCAATGCGCCAATCGTCGCACTGTTCTCATCAAACCAGTCAGGCCGCTTACAGTTTGCGCGCCCGATGGTCTCTTCGGCAGTAGCTGTAATCTGGTCGCAAATGTGGTGCTACAGGTCGCCCACTGTGGCTATGCATTCCACATCACACAGGTGTCCAGCCATCGCCTTCTCCAGCTCTATACGTTTCTCCACAGTACCGACGGAATGTTAAATTGACGACGATTCACGACAGGAGTGCAATATATGAATTTACGAAAATATATGCACAGTTCGGTCCACACCAAGTTGTGATCAGTGCCACACTCAGCTCCACGCAGTACACGTGTCATGCGCACTTCACGCATATCACGCTGGCGTATGATGACATAGTCGAGCAGGTGAGTGTGACCACTCCGTGGGTGCGTCCAAGTTGCTAGATCACTCGCACTCAGTGCAAACCGAGTGTTCGTGATCGCCAGGCTGTGGGTGGCACACAGTGAGAGCAGCCTGCCATTGTTCGCATTCGCTGAACCAATGCCATGCGGACCGATAAGATCCGTCCACATCGATGCATCACGCCCAAGGTGCGCGTTGCAATCATTTAGCAGAAATAGCCGGTCCCTCCTCGGCACAGACTGTATCACGGAGGATAACTGGGTGTAGAATTGATCACGCGTGTAATCAGGGTAACACATGGTCGGACCGTACGTGCTTATAAAAGTGGCAAACTAACCTCTTCCGAGTCGTAGGCGAGCAGTCATCAGTCGCGCGGTGATGCCTGTTGGTTCACCCACCAGCTGGCCATTTGGGTGATCGGATATTGCAAATCCGACCCCATGTTCACGTGGTGCTGAGGTGATGTTGCCAAACCAGTAGAAGGTGTATCCAGCACCTGGTTCAAGCAATTTACCTTGCTCGGGGCGCTCAACCGAGTTCCGGTCCAGTAGTGTGCGCACGTTCCAGCACCCGAAGCTGAGCGTAGACATACGATTGCGTTCGGGGGCAATCCCACGCGAGGTGGCGGTTGTGCTTCGGAGGTTTGCTTGAGGGACTCCATCCGGAGCCTGTGGCTCAATAGCCTGACCCACAAGGCATGCTTGAGGTCCGTCACACGCAGCCTTTGAGGTACTGGAACCATTCATATATGTTTTGAGACCGTCGTAGGATACACCTACGACCACGGCCAGACGCAGGTGGGTTTTGCCGGGTTTGCACCAATTTGAGCAGGGGCTGCCTGACTTGAGGCGGGCAGTAACAAACCATTGAGCACGCGGAGATGCCCTCCCACTGTCAGAGACAATGCGTGGCGCTCGTGCTCTATGTCAATTGAGCTGTGAGTTTATAACCAATAGACCTGTTGTCTCCAATGGATAAGTTTTTCGGGAAAGGGGCCAACGACTACTTCCTTACCTTCGAAGAGGATGGACTAGGATATTAGCAGGGCGCCCACATCTGACAAGAGAACAACCCGGATCCTCAGCCAAAGCCTTCGATTAAATATACACGTGAAAGGCAGCGAGTCTAGCACATGGTCAGTTCATTGACTCATGCGGATTGGTGTCCTGGATCTCAGCAGGGAAAAGGACATAACACAAATCCCACCCCGCGGTCGCCACGAGGAGGCATCCAGGACATGAGCCCATGGCAGAATAGTAGCAACAGTGGGTATACCATTTGAAAGGATCTAGCCACATCGCACTCAGCGCACCATAGGTTTTTCCCACCTCAGCCCCATTGTAGTCGGCATCCGGTTTCGGATTTGCATGTCAATGTGGCCAGCCATAGGACGCCTGCGCTTACAGAGGGATCATTGGTGCATAGCGCTGCACCACACACAGCTACAACCACACACACCCTAACCAGTATAAACCTGAAGGAATGAGACCGGGAGGCATGTGGATAGGAGCCACGTTACATCAACGGAACCGGCCCACACTCCTTCACAGACAAACACAAGCACGCTGAATTTGGGAAGCAAGCGTAAAAAAGGCGGTGGCTGGACCGTGGTCTGCCACACACTGAGTGCGTGGAACCACGCTTCGAACCTAGCACGGCCACAAGGACCGTGCACCCCGTCCCCTCCAGCAACGACCAACTGTCTCCTAGAGCCAGTATGGACGAGGTAGTGGGTAATAGACAGGTACGTACCTCGTCAACACGCACATCAAGCGCAGCCACACCGCGGATGTCAAACAACAGCTAATCACTTGAAATAACATTATCAAATAAGATATATCTGTTAAAGCATATGGCTATGCCCACATAACTTCGCTAAATTAGCGTAGGAAATAAGTTGGTTGGCAAGGAATCCACGATAAATGCAAAGCGTCCATAAGTTATGCAAAAAGTGCTACAAACGCAATGAAGTTAATAGAGATAATCACAATTAGCGTAAGCAACTTGACCAGTTAATAAATTATTCAGGTAGGCAGAACAAACCAAGGAAAGTGGAATGTAATTTATCCAGCGTAAAATACATACATACATACATACAAGCTATTTTAGCCGACATCTGAGCTACTTAGCCGTTCGCAGACCATTCTAGTGAGAATCTGAAAGCCTGTGTGATCGTTATGCCCTCGAAGCCACCATGGGTTGTTCTCATGGAACCAGGAAGTATCACTAATCTTGAGGATGACCAGCATCCGGTGCGCTGACGAGCGGTTGTGCCGTGTTACACATGGAGTTGGAAGCCTATCCCACCGTAGCGCAATGTTACTATAATAGATAACCGAAAGCTTGGTTTTTAGCGGGCCATGGGAAATCTAATTAGACGTGAACTGTGACAGTCTCATGGTAGAAAATATCGTTCGATGTGCTAACTGGTAAAGTTCCACGAAAAGTGGTGGTGCGTTAAAACATGATCGAAGTTCAGGTGAGTGTTTTGGAACAAGCGGCAGGCAAATATGGAATCAGTCCACCCGAGGCTGATACGCAATACGGTACATGGAGGTCTGTTAAGTTTGAGACAGCTCTGAGTAGATGTACCCGATGAACCATCGAAGCAAACGTCCACCACTGTTCGTGCCCGAAAACCATACCTGACTAATCCACTGAGGAGTCTAGCCAACTGACCTACGCAGTCGTGTCTTAATAAGTAGAACTATAGTTGAACCAGTTACATTATGTTGTGGTAGGAGACGTCCTTAGCAGCAGGTCGTAACTGGTTGGGACGTACGCGGTAATAACAAACAAACGGCGTCTAGCGCTGGTTCGTATGCTAACCTTGAATAGCGATGTCAAATAGATTTCACTTGGATGGATGCTCAAAGTAACCTGAGTGATTAACGAGGATTCGATCCTGGGGTTTAGTGAGGCCTGGTCTAGCTGGATGTGTCGCCGTTGCATCAGCATTACCGAACGAATGCAGCCAGTTGCCATGGGATGGGCTGGTGCGGTCAGCTCGAAGCACACATGAGTGTTGTGAATACTTCTTAATCCGAAGATTTAGGACATGTAAACACTGAATGTACCAACATGCGTGTAAACGCAGTCCATTAACCCAGCTGTCCTAGTGCACGAACCTTGAGTGCCACAAAGGAGAGTTATAGGTCTTATAAGAGGTATACGGAGCCGGGAAACACAGAAATGGGTGTAACCTCAATTTCAGCCCTCCCACCAGAGGAGCAGGCGAGTGCCTCTTCAGGGCGCCCAAAGGCCTTGGGTAGTAAAGCTGAATGGACCAGAAAAGTATTGAAACTAAGACTTCGCTTTAAGGCATAGTGTCGTCACGACGAGTAGCTTCATCCGCAAGCTGCTATCAAAGTTAAGACGAAAGTACAAGGAAACACAGTAGACAAGAGGTTTCTACACTGGTGAAAATTAAGATGTGGAGGGTTTCAAAGTTGTTCTATCCCGACAAAGCAATGTTGTTTAAAAGTAAACCGCGGCCCCAGTTGAGATCGCATGTCACAATCCGGACACAAGGTGAATACTCTAAGACCCAAAAATTAGGACGTGTGATTAGAATGATTGAAATAACCAGCCATTTGAGTCGATGAGTAGGACCAATTGTTTTATTTTGATGTGCTCTCAAGGTGATGCTGGATTATAAACAATCGAAATATAATTTCACCTCGAGTTATGAAAAATACGTGCTCCGTCGACGACGATGTTGGCTGATATGCGTTCTTAATCGTAAGAAAAGAAAAAATGCATAGCTCATAAGCATCAAAGGATACACCCACTCCAACTTTAAAGTTTGATCTGGTGCTGGTTGCAAAGCCTTAAGGTCGAAGTTTTCCATCAAGGCCGAGGGAAGATACACTGTGATGGCACGTCCGTGCAAGTAGACGCGCAAAACCCCATCGTCTGTAAAAAGAGTAAGGATGAAAGGATAGCAGATAGCGTTTTTCGTCGCGGGTTGGGAGGGAATGTCCGGACAGAATAAACGTACTTGCAATGTAGGTAGGTTCCTTGGATCTGAAAACGATTAAAAAAGTGATTAACATGTGTAAAGAGAACAGATTTAGTCAAGTTAAGTGCAAAAGCTTGGGTGTTAAATGCCCCAACAATCCTCCACCAGGAAACTGAAAGAAACTAAAAGCCACGCCACTCTAGTCGAACATTGTTTTGGGTTACTTGCTCGTTGCGAACACGGAAGAGTGAGGTTGGAGAAGGTCCCCGCTTTTCCAATAAGGGGGCTACCCGTTGCGTCAGAACACAGATGGCCTTACCACCAGGTTTCCAAGCAGTTGGGTGCAGTGGTGTGCGGCCAAATTTAGTGAGATGTCCTTCACTATTGTAGTAAATATGGCCGGCAGCGGGCCCGGAGTACGGCCGACAACGGCGGGATAGATTTGGCGGCAAGCATAATGAAGATGGTGGTAGGGGTGGTGGGGAGCGCAACACTGGAACCGCGTTCGCTCCAGTGAACTGATGCTGGACTACACGTCGGTCGTCAAAGTAGTCTTCACATAAAGAACGCCACATGAGATTGTAGCCGGTTGGTCCATCGGTTACCTCATAGTACCTGGATACTGACGACGGTCTCCAAGGATTGCATGAAAAGGTCTCGTTGCGTTCTGGGCTTTGGGCTTTCCCAGCGCATATTGAAAAATTATCATCAATCAAGGACGCTTTTGCCGAACGATCGATGAAAGGAAGAGACGGTTTTAGCCTGTCCACGTTGGAGCTAAATGTGCGGTATGATCTGGACAGAACAGTTGAACCATGGACGAGCAATGCCAGAAAATCAGGTTTAGACATCAAGCAAGGAATAAATACGAAAGCATACTTAGTCATAAACTGACAATACTAAATATTAGCCAGAATTTGTGTAACAGATGGATGAAAGTTACTGGGTCAGGGAAGCATACTCCGTAGGACGATACTTATTCCCGAGTGGAGGCCGCAGTGAGTATCACATGTGGGGTGAACGTGGTTGGGTCACAGAGCCAATTTCGTTGCTGAAGATTTCCAGTGAAGCGTATAGGTGATCAAAGGAAATAAAGCACTACTCATGTATACCCGCATGAATTGCAAAAAGAGCAGAAGGCGTCAAGAAGAACGTGTTATTTTTGTGCAAAAAAACGCAATGGTTGGCATACTCAGATGGTTGCTCGCGCAATGGGATTTGAGCCTTGACTGTGAGGCGGCGGCATAGCTTATACGGCAATGTTACATCCAAATACAAAAACAAATCACCTTAAGTTATCGCAAAAACAAGACCATTTCGCTCTAGGCTGGCATATCGGCGCTCCCTAATCCTTGTAATCAGCGAACGGAATCAAACGGGTCTCGTTTAGTATCACCGTATAACAGCATCACGGTAGGGTACAGCCCAACTGAGTAGGATGCCAGGTTCGCATGAGTATCATGCAGCGTTCAGCAGTGTGAAACAAAAATATCCGGAGCAACGTTACGGAGTCGTTCTGAATGCAGGGGAATGCAGATAACTGGACAAGAACAAGCATGGCTACTGTAAAAGGAATATAGAGGAAACGGATGCAGCAATGAGAATCCGCAGCCGCGTCTGATAGGTCATCAGCAGCATGCCGGTACGCCATGCAGCTGTTTCGCTGTCAAGCAACCAATGCCAGTCGCGCGTGGGCTAAGGATATTGTGAAGGTCAACCGGCCCCCTACGCAGGCTCGAACCCGCGACCTCCGGGTTGCAGAGAAGAGGCCTTGTCCTGTCGCCCACTGGCCACCGATTCTAGCAGTGAATATCATCCTGTTGATAGATATCGGTTCATCACAACGTATCGAGTCAATGGAAAATCGTTGAGAAAATTGGAATTGGTCAGTCAGCACAACGTACAGCTTTGGAATTGTATTGTCCAGACCACAGTGCTGGACGCGATACTGACTTGATCAGTGCACTGAAGTAGACTTCAGTACCAAAAAAGCTAACATAGGCAGACCCAAGGATGCTGCAACTAGAACTAATTAAGAAAACTGGCTGTGGTGAGGCGCTAGTCAGAAATGATGGTGCAGTATTGGCCTAGTAGAAATAAAGCAGGTGGATTAGACTACTAACCCGCAGTCGAGATTGCTGCTGTTCAGGACACAGTAAGTTGCAATGAAGATTCGGGCGTATACTCGTCTAGGTTGTGCACTAACGACTTGTGAAACGTCGAAAAAAGAGCAACAGCCGACAGTGACATGTAGTCCTTTGATCCAAATGTGACATTCGTTGGTTTCAGAACAATGACCCTTATAGCCAGTTCGTAACTATTTATCAAATGAATGAAGGCTTGCTTCTTCTGGCTTAATCTGGCAAGAATACGATAAACTACGTAGCGGAAGGGGAAGAGTTTTCAGGAGCGAACTGTTCGGCTTAAACCACATACAATGACATTGTAGCCTAGGAGGAAGATAGCAAAACACAGAGGTTTCTAGCAAACTATTCATAGCTAAATCGAATGATAACGACGGTTCCAAAGAGTTCGAGCAAAAGAGCGTTCAAAGACTCGTCAAAGAGCATCATAACGGTTTTTGAAAATAGTATCGTATGATAACCAATAAATTCTAGGTTAACTATGCGATATATGAGGAAGGTAATTGTCCGACCTTCAGGACGAATTTATAGGTCGTGAATTATGTTAGTGTAGTGGACTGCTTACGAAATGAAAACAAATTAAAATTGAAAGCAGGTGAAGAACGATGAACATGCAGGGTAACAGCGCAAAGTGTAGCCAGCACTGAGTACTCATTGCTTAGATGATTGGTAAATCGATTTAATGGAAAAGTAAAACTTCCATAAGGGGAAGGAATCAGTTGGTCAACAGCGAGCACATCCTCTTGCGCCGCAAATTGTGAGACTTCACACCTGGAAAATGCATCTAGGATGTGAGAAGAAACTGACCCGAGAACAGCCGCGTTGCGATCCAACGCGTGTAAAGATGAGCTTTTGGTTCCACCGTGCTGTGCCCCATGTGCTGAGTTGGGTGCACAATGACCGGGGCGGTTTTTGGAATTCCCACGCCGACTGGAAGGTAACTCTGAACGGGTAGGAGCACTGCGTCCAGAAGATATGTTTGCGTCTGAGTTGCAGAAAATGACAAAATATCTAAGTACCAAACTTCGGGATCAGAAAGTTGTGCAAATTGGATAGAGATACGAAGGTGAATGGCGATGACAGAAATGATATCGCTTTTAACCTGTGGAGCAGCACAAAAGTTAACATGCTCTGTTACATTTGACATAAAAGTATGCGTACGTCTCTCGGATCCCGTGGCGGAGCTGTACGCTATCGGGCGCGTCCCCAGGTTGCGGATTGGGGAATGCCTTCCTTATGGAAATAACTGCGAACAAGTCTCGTTTGCCTTGCAGGCAAGATGAATAAGCAGTCGCGGATAATCAGCGGCCACGTCTCAGAGGGTGGGGAGTGCTGGGCTGGTCATCTGGTCTCCATCAAATACCACAAGAGCTCGTACGGCGCTGTGTCAAAGTCAATGTGACCGGCTATAGGGTCACTAACCACTCACTTCTGTCACGAGAGGTGAGCATATAACGGACAGCGGATGAACAACCTTAGTGGCCACCGGCTTCTCTGTGGATTGATACTGAACACAAAGAAGACGAAGGAGCCACCCAGATATAAACGGTCTTCGTTAACTGCCCCGCTGTCTTGCGGGTTAGGTCTAAGAACAAAAGCCCGGGATGGGAGTCCCTTAAGTCAACCCTCTTTCTCGGCCTGGGCAACCGGGAAGATCTCTGCACGCACAACACATTAACCTTCCAAACTTTCCAAATCCTTTCACTAACTACTCGATTTCCCCTTTGTTGTTGTTGTTGTTAACTATGTGTTGTGGCACTGTCAAGTGTACATTGGTCAAGTGTTGAATAACATAATATATAATGCGCTTCTCGGATCACTCCAAATGATCAGAGAGCCAGAGTAATATATGAAACTCTAAAGTGTCGAACCTCAGTAGAGACACTATCGTCTCGTACAGGACACGGAATTGCGGTGGGTCTAGCTGCCAAGGCTCCCGTCACCAAAATCTTAACAATGGTGAGGAATATAAAGTAGAATGGAAAAAGAATGGAAAATAGAGAAAAGTGAAGAGAATTAATGGGGATGGAGTATGAACAACCGAATGCAAGTAATACGATGCGAAAATGCCAAGCATGTGGCTTACAGAAGGGAATGTTTCATTGAGGATGAGTGGCAGCAATATTCGCGCCTGCGGAAAATGCGAGTATACGAGCGACCAGACTCTCAACATCTCAGAAGTAATCCATCGGTGGTTAGCGAAGAAGTAGTAGCATAGGCAGGCAAGGCAATCGAAGTGCATTGGAGAAACATCGCTATTTTACTAGTGGAGTGAGGCTAGGCGTCTTCAGTAGACAGCCAAAAGCAAAGCAATTGTATCCGTAACAACATTATTCCTTATGCATACAGTAAGTTCGTATGAGCAATGGATGAAAGGAGTGCAAACGCACCGCAAAACCGGATACATAATGAATTCCATGACAATCCTGCCCTAAATATCCGGTCAATCTAATTGGTGTATCCAGGCGCTAATGATCGACAGAGGTCTGATGATTCCACACCCGACTGACAGGCAGCTCCAGGTTTGCAATGTAAGCTTGAGTAACTGTTTAACCGCGATCAATACCTGAAGATTCGCCAACAATGCGATCTGTGAATGATTCTCCGCATCGCACGCCAGTGCTCCACGAGTTAAAATGCATCAGCCGGGTGCTGTTCATAGGTTGCTATGGGGGGCTAACGGTTCACCGTGTTTCAGAGTCCGTCACGCATTGTAGATGGCAGCTTGGACACAATCCAACGCAAACTCGGAGAATTTCTTGCGTCCGTGGCAGTCAGTGGTGAAATATTATTGGCGCTAGACCTGTCGACCTTGTTTGTCCGAAATTTCCGTTGCCACAACAGGCAATATACTTGAGCCGTCATTTAAATTAGAGGCATCATTTACCACTAAGTCATCGAATGTAACTCGTTAGGCCATATCAATCAACATGCCACGCCGCTATATGACTCCGAAACACACACACAAGACTTCTTTGCCAAGGAACCGGTGACAATAGTGCATGTTTCGCGTCTTTGTTGACGCGAGATAGTTACAATGTAAGCTGAGTCAATGGAATCCTGTCTCATGTCTATTCGGGCAAAACTGTATCTAATTCCTCAGGTTACTGAATACAGAAAATGGGTAACAAGTAGACATACGTCTGTGTCGCTTCACCATAGTTCGGACATGTGCGCGGAATCACGTCACTGATTCCTGCGCGTTTGCTGTATATTACAGCTGCGCCATATGCTATTAGAGGGTGGTGCGCTCCTGAACGTGAAATTCGCAAAGTCGGTGACTAGGAACTTTTGAATTTCGACACCGATTTCGCGTTGACTATTTTCTCGGACAAACTGTTCCAGTCGGTGCTCGAAGCATAAAGAGTGAGCTATTCATTTTAGGTCCGGTACCACAAGCTTGTACCGGTGCCCGTGCTGTTTGGTGAGCACACGTGAAGCAGCGGCACATTTTCGGCCGTCGTAGTTAAGGTCAGTCATAAAGAATGGACCCGCCGCGTTTCGGTACTAGGATCATAAAAGAGTCACTCAGACAACCTGAGTTCACTTTCCCAAGGATTAACGAGTGATCAGAGCATAACGTTATTGAACAAGTTTAGTATGGAAGAAAGAAGGTTAGATTAGATCAAATGTTTTGCACCGCTTTGCCTTGTTCATATTAAATGTGGAGATGGAAGTCGAAAGTTGTTGATCTGAAAGCACTTTATTGGGAAAGAGAGGCTAGACTTAATACGTGTTAATTGTCACTGCCCTCAGTAAGGAGAAGGGTTGTTGGGACTAGAAAACTGACTCTGTTTAAACACAACTAGTTCATAAGAAGTCTCGTCGACTCTAAGGGTAGAAACGCCAAGTCTCGAGGTGTTCAGATAATATACTGAGAGCAGAACAGTGACCAAATAAACCCGGAGGTGGGCCAAACGCTTTTATCTATAGCCTTACAGTTTCTGGACCAGTGATCTGGACAAGCTTTACATTGCATGGGCTTTCTCGATGGTGTTAGTTTCCCCATCTCAAAGGTGGTTGTCATACATCAACGACAATGGTCAACCATGAGACTGCTAGTTAGATATTGCTTCGTAGTGGCACCGACGTCCTAACGGTGAGGCCTACGCCTCAGTAAAACTACACGGTGCATCTGATTTCTATGCGATATCCGAACAGGACGGGCAAGTGGCATTGAATGCCATTTTCATGGTTTATAGGAGAAAACAACAACAGTAAGCCAGCTTTTTAAACTTGGCGGTCAATAATGGTTGATGGTTCAGATAAACTGGTGAGTTCACGGAAAGGAGGAACAACATTCGGTATTGAGTACCATCACAAGGCAAGGGAATGAATATCAGTTTAGTGCGCACTGTGGAATGGTGAAAGCTGAGGCAGGAGTGCCAAATTGATCCACGTCGTGCACTGATCACACTCGACTAATGGTGATGTGGTCGGTTCGGAGTCACTGCGATGCCACTTCGGTGAGCGCAAGGTGATGGGATAATAACGTTGAGGCTAGAAGCAGTACTGCCGTGAGAGATTATGGCTGATATGTGGTTAGACAAGCTGGTCACATGCATCAATTCAGAAACAGCCCCAAGCAGTCTGATTTAGCTAGGTGGCAAGTCAATCTACACCAAGACAATACGGGTAATAAATGACTGACAAAGAACTATTGTTAGCATCAGAGCACGACGAAGGAAACCAAGACACCGTTCCAGAAGATATTATCTATTGAATGATAGATGCGCAACCGTGTCGCATATATGCGTCATTCGCTATGACTCAATAGAAAAAACGTTCTTGCACATGCCCTAACCGCAACCACGAAAGCAAAAAAACACAAACAACGGATTTCACACCCACCTTAAACACCAAGTATGTCAGTAACAGAAATGTGCGAACAGAAGAGTATCAGTCACCGGAATTGCCTAAAAAGTGCGTCACTTTAGAGCAAAGATACTGCCTACGAATAAAATGCTTTCATAAGGTTACTGAGTGAAGCATGCACAGCGGATTGTGCCGAGCTGAGTTAGAGTAGGATGTTGGTGAACATAGGAGAGTTATAGAGAGAGCCGATCCTCCTACACACTAAATTCAGTTCCTCTGTAAGTATTCTTATGGATTATTTATGCCAATTTACGTCCACATCCAAAAGCGGTCGGCTCACATATGTGTAAATGTTTAACGAAGTGATGTAAACAAGAAACGACTCCACTGGGACTGCGGAAGGTGAAATTGTGGTAACGTGTCATAAATGGATGCATAAACTACCCAGTAAGCAAATCCGGGAAGCTAAAAAAATAGCTAAATACTAAGGAAGTCCTGAGAAAATGCCGAATGACGAACGCAGCGTACGGGTTTTGTTTATGCCAGCCACTCCAGCCCGAGGCGGATTGTTGCTCATACCATGACCGGATTCAAGCAGACTAAGACGTCGAAGGCAATCCGCTAGTGAATTCTTTAGACCGACCAAATCGTCAGCTTGTTCCACGCTTCGCCGTTCCAGATCAGCGACGCGATCCAGTAGGCCTGAATTCTCCAGGGACATTAAGTCCGAAGCTGTGGAAAGTAAAATGAAGTGTATGAAACCTACATCTGATAGAGAAACCATGGAACTAAAAGGGAAAAACAGAGAGCAAACATGTTTCCGTATATCAGGGTTGCAAGTAAGGAAGTAAAATTGAAAACTGATCAATGAACGAAATTAATAAAACGTAGGTTTACTATGTTTCAAATATGCGTGTATTCCCGCAACCCGCTAAACAATGCACTGCTCCAAACCGTGGAGTGATTCAGAGGTGTAACGTAAGCCATAATACCGAACTGAATTCCAGTGTAAAGTCTTCAAAACAAGCATTTTACAAAAGCGTGGAAAGTGGCTCACGACACACTGAACAAAGAGTGGAACGGGAAACCAACGGCAGTTGCGCAAACCACGGATAATGTTGGGTTACTGTGCTACTGATGCCACTAATCGGAAATAAAATATGGAAACGGTGTTACCTCTTGGATAGTTGATACATCGACCAAAAACGTCGCAATGGATGACTCGACCACGGTAGCTATGATGCACAAATTAAATTTAAATCCTAGTTCAGGTTGCAAACCATGGCTAGTAAAGTCATTCGGACTAGTAGGCTGTCCGAAATCAATCGACCATTTTAGCATATGTTCGTTATCACGATTTATTTTAAACAAGCAACAAGATATAGTCGACGTAACATCCATTGTTATCGACGACGCAGCGTTGATGCTCAGGCAGGCTGTCGATGCCACTCAAATAGAACGAGCTGAGCTGGATGTCAAAGTGTCAGACAAGGCGCGTTTCGGTATGGCTACATCATCGAATCTCTTGTCCTTGATGTGATTTTGTAGCGAACAAGAAACGTGGTAGTCAGTAGGAGCAAGATCCGGGCTGTAAACTGAATGCATAAGAGTTTCGATACCGAGCTGCTGAATCTTGAGACAAGTCATCTTCGTAGAAGGACGTGCATTGGCGTTTAGGAGAAAGATTCGAGTCGCATTTTTCGGTATTCGTCAACCATCGTTTTCAGTCGTTGGCAGTAGACATCGACAGTAACCGTGAAATTGTCAGATAGCATCTCCCAATAGATGACGCCGCGGCGATCCCACCAGACTGATAGCATCGTCTCTTGCCTTGCAATTCGCTTCCCTGGAACTTGCACTGGCGTCTCATCTGCTGCGATCCAACAACAACCTGCGAATGTAGGCAGACAAAAATTAATCTACCTCTGGATTACTCAAGAAGCAAGCCGACTCGGCTAACCCACACCTCCGTATAACAGTACAGCACGAACGCAGGTACTGTAGATCCTGAGCCTTACGGAGAGTAAAACGTCGCGATAACGCCAAAGACGGCTCAGATTAGCGAAAGTTGTCCGCGCTTTCGTAATACGGAGAGAAATATTGCTTTTAATAGTAGCATCAGCAGAAACGCAGTTTCCAAGGTAGATGAAGCTTTGCACATGTACAAGTTGCGTGCCTTCAAGAATCAGCACTTGGGTAGATAAAAAGGCATAAGAAGTATGCTGGCACGCAGTACTGACGTTTCGCTGTCATGCAACCGCCACCGGTCGCACGTGGGCTGAGAATAATGCGAGGGTCGCCCGGTCCATACGCAGGCTCAAAGCCGCGCCCACGAAATACAAAGCAGGCTTGTTATCCTTAATGCTACGGGCCAGCAGGTAGATACCAATCCTGGAATAAGACTGCATGTTGATGGAACGAAGGTCGTCACACTTGGTACCTACAACAACAGAGTGTTTGGAATGATCTGCATACTGTGTCGTAAAGGAGCAAAGCAATATCATCGACATAGTACAAATCGGTGGTCAAGCGGTTGCCTGAGAGAAGCTCTACACCGGAACCTGGTGGGCTTTCCAGAGAGCTTTATAGGACAACTTCGACTGCAGAGTTGAAGAGGAAAGGGGACATGGGTATTCCTGTCGTACCCCGCTAGTGACGACGAAAGTTGAAGAGAGTAAGCCCTTGCTCTGCCAGAGACATTGTTACATGATGCTCGAAGTATGGCGGTATACTTTTCGTGGACCCGATTATTGAACAGATAACGCCACAAAGCAGCCCGATCGATTGAGTCTAACGCATCTCGGATGAACAAAAAAACCAACAAAGATAGGCTGATGGTAAAGATGACGCCGCTCGAGAAGTTGGCGGAACGTAGACATAAGGTCTACACATCTTTGAACGGGGCGGAAACCAACCTGTTTCGCACAGGAGTGTATTTCTCGAAGCCATGTCAGCATGCGCAGAATGGATGTTAACAATTTGGAGGTGACGGACATCAGGCTAATTACTCTGCGGCTGTTGCACAAAACACGGGTGCCCTTTTTGAAGATCGGCACGATAATGGACCGGCCCCAGTAGGATAGAACCTTCTCTTCACACCACGTCCTGGAGAGTAGTACAGCTAATTGGTTGACAACTGCCTAGCCACCGTACTTGAACAGCTCGAGAGGAAGTTCGTCTGGGCCGGAAGTTTTGGATGGCTTCCAGTGACAAAGCTCAAAGCAGACTTCCGTCTGAGGATAGTTCTGGTGAAACGTTTCAAGGCACGTAATCAGGCATGCATGACAACTAACTGTATTGACAGTGGAAGTGCCCAGCCCAGCGACCCATGAGTTTATGCAAATTGGTGATTGGTGAGCCATCAACCTCGCAAATAGACTCACTGATGCCAGGTCTTCTGTGGCCAATGGACCGGATGATCTGGAAAAGCTTGCGAATATTTCCAGAGATCGCTGCTGTTCTTATCTCTGAAGCGTTCTGAGACCACCAATTTCACGATCATTACGCACGCTTTGCTTGGTTTGCTGACTGAAGTTGCGGCGTATTTTACCGCTGTTTGAACCAGCTGAAATGGCTCGGCAACGGTCAAGCAACTCCAAAGAGCGAGCAGGGAGCAAGTCTCTCAGAATGCGCCCAGTGATTCCCCAGAATGATGGGCCGGAAGAAAGGAAGGCTTACCAGAAACTCCAGCGATGTTCGAGGTTATGGGGTGGAGCAATAGCGAAAACATATAATAAGGAGGAATGATAAGCCAGCTGAATGGAAAAGTTAGCTAGCCTGTTAGCATCCAGCGTACGGTGCTTTGGTAACGTGGAACCACCAAAGCGCGTGCAGACGCCCGCACAGACCAGAGCGTGATTTGAAACGAGGTAGTTGGACCGAATCAATCTGCAATCCCGTACACTTCCCCGTCATCTAAGCTGAATGCAATGTGATCAATTTGTGACCACACTTGCGTAGGGAAAAAGGAACGCCAGGTGGCGGCGCGTCTCGTCGAATGCCCGAAGTTCGTGATCGAAAGGAACAGGTGGTTGTCCTCACATTATGAGAAGTCTACCTTCATTGTCAGAACGACCCTCACCAAGGGCATGATGGCCATCAAGATGACGTTCGCATGGCAGCAGGCAGCCGACGCGTGAATTGAAGTCACAGGAAATGACGACCTCGGAATTTTCGACTTTAGTCGAATGCACAACTGCAGTCGGTTAGAGCGTATGCAGAGATAACAAACAAATTGCGTCTCTCTCTACAATGTCTGTTGATCCTACATGAGTCCTGAAGTCGAACCACACACAATCACCTATCAATGGGAATCAACCGAGCAGCAAGGCCTCGAGTTTGTCACTCGATGTGATGTCAACACTAGGCATGCCAGCTGCAACTGTTTCTGTGTCACAAGACAGACGCAGGAAAACTTTGGTTCCGAGATCAGCAGAGGACGTCAACTTAACCATGGTGCTGGAGTCTTATAATCGAGTCTCAAAGACAACAAACATCGATAGTGAGGGACTCTAAGGTGCGCACTAAGCCAGTCCGATTTGCATAAAAATTCGAATGTCAAGGGCTGCAAACCGGAATGGAGATCGTGCTCGAAAAACAACCAAGCGATGACTTGGTCAGGAGGAGTGAAGACCACTTCGAAGCTGGAGTCAGTTGGTGTCTCCCGACTGCCGCGCTGGAGTCCCAAGGACGAGGAACATGTTTGATTGGATACACAAGTTGACATTACAAACAGCCGACTCCTCGTAGTGCCACCTGGGTGGTTCGGGTATTTCCCGTTCCAGCAAATGGTTTGGCAGTAGTGTTCCATGGTGTGGTGGGTTTTCGCCTGGCAAGCGTTCTCCCTATAAAAAGCCACAAATGTCTGTTTAACAACATTGCAACGTGGCGGATGTGACTCGCCACTAAATCAAGTCACTGCCTCTTGCCCCTCCCTGAGAGGTAGGGTACTTCAGGTGTGCATTGGGCCCCTGGTCCTTCACGGACCGAAAGCCGCATGAACCATCTATTTGTTCACCAGCTGCCGAAGAGTTGCGAAGCCCTCACATCGCCCTGCTGCCTTGTAGGTTAGATTTCTGATCAAACGCACGGGGTAGGGCCTCCTAAGACAACCCTCTACTTCGCAATGATTCGGAATACCTGTAGCTCTGGTTGGTAGTTAACTACAACTTCAAGGATGCTGGAACTATGGAGTTCTTAGCAAAATCCGAAAATACCTTAGAATCCAATGGACTTAAGAAAGAGACCAAAACACAAATAAAGCATGCCGTGATCTCGATTCTAGCACGTAACAAGAAACACAACTCTTTTTCACAGCAAGAGAAGAGTGCTCTAAAATCCTTGAAGGCCAAAGAAACCATCGTAATCCTGCCTGCGGACAAGGGACGTATGACCGTCATGATGGACAAAACTGATTATATTGAAAAGGCAAGTCATCTCCTAGCCGACACAACAACCTATCGATGAATGGAGAATGAGCTAACAGTACGGTTGAAAATAAAGTGAATAAGACACTTAAGAAACTTCAAGAATTAAATTAACTCACAAAAAGAGAGTATGATAGAATGAAGGCTCGTGCTCCAAACAGCGCACAGTTGTACGGGCTTCCTAAAGTGGATGCGCCGCTACGACCAATAGTATGACTCCCAGGTACACCAACTTACAACTTAGTTAAAGAATTATGAAAAGACCTCAAACATCTGACCAGCGGATCGCAATATTCGATCAATAAC